TGGTGAAAGAAAAAGAAGGTATAAGAATGGAATTACAAAACAAAGATACGAAAAGACTGAGAACAATTCTGAAAAAGTTATAGTTGGATGGAACAGATGACGTCTTCAAAAAGAGGTGAGAAATGTAAAGATTAAAAGATGTTCAGATACAATAGAAACAATAATGGGCTTCAAGGACAGAGACTATGGAGAGGTAATGTACTGTATAAGTAAATAATGTTGGTATAAATTAGACTGGTAAAGATTTTCTTTATTTTATTCCCAGCACCTGTTTTTAATTTCTATTCCTTATTACTTCCTACTCTTTTTAGGCATTTTGCATGATGTTGTTTATCACAAAAGGGAATAGCATGATGGTTAGTATAAATGTATATTTTAGTGTAATTGAGGGAGTATTGCCTCTGTTTGGATCAGGAGTGTTATCTACATTTTTTGCATGAAGATTTCTATGTATATATGGGTTGAACATATGTTATGGAATTATTGTGCATATACCATTTACTACTGCATGTTTTTATGGACAAGTTTTCTTTTAAAATTAAACAGTGTTCTTTGTAAGGCTTGTTTTCATTTGTTCCATTGGGGACAAGATTTTAAGAAGCACCCATTCACCTGACAAATATATGCTATAAATACTGGGCTTCAGTAGTGGATGGTATCCCTCAAGTAGATTACAATAGGTGTTTTAAACTATACAATTGCCACACCATTCCAATATATTGTGATGAATAAAAATTAATGCAGCTGCAAAATGCATACTTGAAATAAAAATGATTCTAGATTAGAAAAATGTGTATGTTTAGACTTCACAGTTTTTACAAACGGAATCTATGCATATGCCTGATCATAAAGAAAGCATCCCTGGAACTTCATCGTAAATTGGCATGTTTTCATATTTTAAATACCTATTTCTTCTATAATCAGAGCTCTCTTCCTAGAAACAAACATGATGCAGATGACCCAGATGACCCCAAGGGCGGGGTCAAATGGATCTTCAGTTTGGAATCACTATGCCACCCCAGAGACTTAAATCCAGCTTCCGTTGAAGTCCGTTCTTGTGGTACCAATTTGCCTTGACTATTAAAAGATCAAATTCTTGTGCATGGAATAAACTTGTAATGCTTTTGAATTCTATCTTGGCCCCCAATTTCCTGCACCTGACACAAGCAAGTTGAAAGGTATACTGAGATTCTGCTACAAAATAATAATTTGAAATAAATAGCTTTTTCCTCCCTATTGAATGTGCAACCAGCATCTTTCAATAGCTCCTTGTCCACTGCTGTCACCTTCAGTTGCTTCCCGATCCTAAATGATGGAGTATAACTTCTTTTCATTCTCCAGCAAATTATTGAAAGGGTTTCCTCCCAGCTACACGATAATTTATTAGAGAAATAAACTCAAATAGGTACAGCTTCAGAAACTTTTTTGTTTTTTTTCAAAGTAGAAATTCTAACTTCACATGCCAGAATGCCAGAAAAAAACAAACGTTTTTTGGATTTGGTAAATGAGAAAGTTAAGAATGGGGCTTCTGGTTGTGATAAATTAGTATGAGGAAAGTAAGAGAATGAGGAATGTAATAATGAAAGCTTGATACTGGACACAATCCTACAGATGTTTAAATGGCAAGATCCCTTTGCCAGATTGTTCACATTTTTTATTAAAAATGAATTTCAATCCAATGTTTTTCGTACTTTCCGATAAATGCACAGGATTGCACACCCTACTGGTTTGTGTAATATGAGTATATTCACAGTCATAATGAGCTGATGCAATTGAAAATTTACAATCAACTCATCTGTGTATCTTATTTAAAGATTTTATCTCATGTTGAATCTACACTTTAATACTCTATGAGATGGTCTACCATTTTCTTAGATTATTTGTAGAGCTACAGGCCATTTTAAAACCAAGCTTTTTGAATTTTGTGTTTTGGAGCCATATTTGCAGAGTACAGGTAGTCCTTGACTTACGACCACAATTGAGACCAACATTTCTGTTGTTAGGTGAGACATTTGTTAAGTGAATTTTGCCCCATTTTACAACTTTTCTTGCCACCGTTAAGTAAATCATTGCAGTTGATAAGTTAGTAACACGGTTGTTAAGTCAATCTGGCTTCCCCATCGATTTTGCTTGACAAAAGGTTGCAAACATTGATCACATGACCTTGGGACACAGCAGCAGCCAAAAGTTTGAACCAGTTACCAAGCATCTGAATTTTGATCACCTGACCACGAGGGATGCTACAAAGGTTGTAAACTGAAAAAAATGGTTATTTTTTTCAGTGATGTTGCAACTTTCTATGGTCACTAAAGGAACTGTTGTAAGCTGAAGACTCCCTGTACCTTCCAGCTGTATTGTGACACACAGGTGTCAAAAACAGATCAGGGAAGGCTGTTTTGATTTTTCTTCTTGTGCCATATCCGTCATCGGACGTTAGCGATTGTGTCGGCAATCCTATTTTTGTCTACAGCCGCATGAAAAAGTCAGTGGTGGGTTCCTCCCGGTTCTGCCGAGCCGGTAGCGGTGACGATATGACGTCACCGAACCGGTTCTGCCCCCCCGTCCCCCCCACATTATTCTTACCTTTTATTTGGCCCCACCCCCAATCTATTGCTGCCTCCTGAGTCCCAGCTGATGGGCTATAAGGAAAAACTGTTTAAACTCTTGCTCTGGGGCTTGAAAGGGCCGCCCTACAGCTAATCAGTGGTAAAAGGCAGTTTGGTGGTAGACCAGTGCCTCCAAAAACAAATGAGTAGACCGGTGCCTGCAAAAATAAATGGGTAGACCCGTATAGCTTTGCAAGCAGTTAAAAGCCTGGTAGACCAGTACCTCTGCTAAAACGGTAGTAAAAAAATTTAGAACCCACTCCTGGAAAAAGCGCTGCAGAGTTTTGTCCAAACCAGTCCCTTAGATTTTGAAGCCACTATGCTCTTCTTCTGCCTGGACCACATTTGCCTTCAACCTTTCCCTGTTTTGATTACCTATGGGAATTCCACTATACCAGAAAGTTCAGCTTGTTCCTTTTTTAAGCCCTAGCCCAGTTTCCCCCTTGCCTGTTCTTTCAGTCACCAAACTTTTAATGCGAAGACAGGCCGCCACAGACACCAACGTCGCAACGCACGAGACCGACTACTAAATTAATGTGATTAAAGCAGCCGGGCTGTGCGGGGGCGCGCGCACGTGTCTGCCTGCCTTGGAATTTCAGCGCAGGAGTTACACAAATGAGTAGACACGCGCGCTCTGCGGACGCGGCTGCAGCGCAATCCCGCGTGAAGCAACCGAGGCTCTGGCGTCGCCTTGGCCAGTTCCGTTCCGAGCCTCGATAGAGAGTGAGGAAGGGCCAGCGGAGGGGAGGGAGACCTCCATGTGTTACGCTTTCCAACGCTTTCCACCGGGCGAGCCCCCTTCATACTGCGCCCCTCTCCGGGGCCCACGAGCGCCCCATTTTCCCTGCCTGCTGGCCGCCGCAAAGAGGACGGGGTGGCCAAGCGCAGGCGGAGCGCTCCGAGCCGGCACCAGCCACCAGCCCGTCGGCTCCTCAGCCTTGGCTAGCAGCGTGACAGCCCAGGCTGGCGGGGAGGCGGTGCTTGGGTCCCCAAGGCGCGGGGCGGGTTGGCAGGGGCGACGGAGCGGAGGAGGAGCGAATGGCGAGCTGAGAGGGCGGCCAGCCTTTTCACGGCTCGGGCTGCCTTGGCTGGGACGGAGGCGGCGGGAGGGAGCGGCGCGGCTGCGGTGGAGGCGAGGGAACGGGCGGCTTCTGCAGAATCGCCTCCTTTTCCCTGCCTCGCGCGGATACAGGCTGAGCCGGAGAGCTGGCCGCGGAAGGTGAGGGGGTGCCTGCCGCGGGTATTTGGGCGGCCTAGCGAGGGCAACGCCTAAGGGGACCGATATCCTGAGCGGCTCAGCGAGGCCTCTTGCAAGCCCGGGGTTGGAAGGGGCGCGCGAGGCCGCGGGCTTCGCTGCTGACTGGGTTGCTGCAAGCTGCTTCTCCCCCTCCCCCCCCCCCCGCGGCGGGCTCGGGGCTGTAAGCGCGGCGCGTGGAAAGCGGCTTCCTATTCCTGCCTGCCTCACTTCTCCTCCCCGCCCCGCGCTTTGCTGAGCTTTGCTGAGCGGAGGAAGTTCCAGGAGCCTCTGCAAGCGCTGGAACCCCGACCTGCATGGGGTTCCGTGGAACCCCCGGCCCGGGCCCTGCGGCTTGGAAACGGAGGCGGTTCGGGAAGAAATGAGCTTTAAGCGTTTTAACCGCCGTCATAATGGTTGCGTTAGATGGCAGCTCCTAAGCCCAGGCACGCGGGACTGCCGGAGACTGCGGGCAGACGGCGCTGGCAGCCCAGGGGAAGATACTGCAGGAATGCCCACATTCAACACGTTTTTTCCTGTCCACCGAAGATAATACGTCCTGGCCGCAGTCACTGTAAATTTGCCTTCAATTGCAACACGAGTAGGCGAACTGTGGAAAAGGCTGTTGAATCCGATAAATGTCTGAGCGTCTCGGGGGATTTTTTGCCCTCTGTAGTTCAAGATAGACATTAACTGCCCTTCTAATATTCTCTACCGTTTCCCCGTTCTTTTTATCCAACGCATCTCGTCTGGGCACCAGTGGCTAGGAAACTCATTGCTAGCTTATTAAATTGTATTTATTATTATTATTATTATTTTAGTAATCCAGAAGTGAGTGATCCTTCTTTCTTGCCTAGAAACAGTTTGCAGGGGCAGTAAACTGAGGTGCTAGGCTAGTAAATGCTAAACAAAGCTTAGTACTAAAATTGCACACAACTATAACCATCACAGTCGGGGTGTGTGTCTGGGTGGAAAAGATTTGACTGCTGCTGTGTACAGTGGAGGTGCCATGGGTTGAATCAATAACAGTGATATCTATGAGGCCTGTGTAAATTTCAGTGAAAAAAGTGTACTGAGCTGTTGAGAGATCTTCTTGTGCTGCTGAGAACACTGCTTTGTCCTTTGCTTCTTTATTAGTGGCATTTGGGAAGAATAGCTCTTGTTAAGGAGTATTGTGACTTTCTTGGAAATCAGAGTGTCTGGTTCTGAAAAGAACAAATGAGTGGTTGAAGGTTTTGAGCGCATGGGAGGGACAAAAATCTGGTGGGTTTTTAATGCCAAATTCTTCTTCCCAACCATTGGAATAGCTGCATGTGCAAATTGTGTCTGACAACTGTGAGGCAAGGAGTTGTGATACCAGTTCTGGCCAAAAATCTTTGGAAAGCAAGCGGCCTCTCTTTCACACTGTTTTGGCTGTTATTAACGGAGACCCTATGACTCTACATCTGTGGTACATCTTGTGAGGACTGTTTGTGGAATAAAGTATGTATAAGCTAACTAAGTTGGCAAAAACTAAAAATTGGAAGGATGATTTAAACTGTATGTAGGAATTAATCATACGATAAACCAGGTTGCTGGGATTCCTGGTTATGTTTACTCCTGAGAAATCCCACATCAATACTAAGACAAATAAATTGTCTCGTGACACTTAAAAAAAATAACTGGATTGAAATTTAAGTAGTACATGGTTCCTAATTATTGTATTCTATTTTCTTGTAGAAGTAATTAAAATTCCGTTCTGAATCCAAAACATATTGGTGTAAATGAAAGTAGATTGACTTGAGTAGGAATTACGTTTAAAATAACTTTCAGAATTGGGATGATTTTAAATTTTGATTAATTATCCACTTTCCTACATATGCGTTCATTATTTTGATACATCTTTTTCTTCTGGTTGCTGATTTTTTTATTATAACTTTGCAGGCTCCGGAAAGCTCTGGAAACTGTTAGATAAAATTATGAATACAGTCATAGGAAAAAGTTTTAGGATGAGTGCAACAACTGAAAACGTAAATGCAACTTTTTGCTTTCAGGATGGCAAACGCAAAATGTTGTGTAGTGAATTGAAAAAAATACTTTAAGTGAAGTCAAGTACTTTAACATAGTTTGTGTGAACTGTCATTTACTAAACTGCTTAGAAAATCAGAGATTGGACAACTATTTATCTGAAATGGTATAAGGTCTTTTGCTTGAGCAGGGGGTTGGACTAGGAGACTCCAAAGTCCCTTCAAACTCTGTTATTTTGTTCTGTTCTATCATAATCTTAGGAGCCCTGATATGGAAGTAACTACTTGGGATATGTATAATATTTTTTAAAAAATAGTTTGAATGTGTATATGAAAAATAAGTTAATATCTCCCTGGTGTGAACAGTGATTCTCATAACACAATTTTGTCTTCTCGGATATAGGTTTTACTGAGTTCACCGGGATTTATAATCAGGAAAATAGATTAAGATTGCAGTCTTAATCTGGTGGCATTCTATTGATTTCAGTTACATTCTGTTGTTTGTTTGTTTTTTGATTAATTTATAATAAAGCAGATCTTTGCAGAGTTGCAAGTGGATGATCTTCATTAACTGCAGATAGATAAAATGTGAGCCATATTTATTTAATGGAGTCTCTGTGTTTCTCTTTGACTATTCTAAATCCATAATCCTACATGTGTTATCTGGCATTCATGTATATGAATAAGCTGTGTAAAGACTTCTATAATTAATCAGTTCTAGACAGTTTATGTAATCATAGCTATAGGCAATGGCTTAGGCTTGGATTAAATAGGACAGGTCTGTGTGTCTTCCTTCAAAAACTTCTGATTTTGTTTTCTAAATATTAGATCATGCAAATGTGCTTAGGCAGAGTACTTCAGCATATCTCCAGAAGCAGAACATTGATACTAAGGCTATTGCCCAAGAATATAACTGGGCTTGTCACGCGAAAGTCACTTTCCTCTCTGATGAGCTGCAGACAAGAGAGTGCTGTAAAGCTGATAACATGGCCAGGATTGCCAGCTGTGCTAAATACCAGTATATAGATATAAAGCTGAAGAACCAAAGAGGAGTTGGACAAGAGAATGATGGTATTTTTTATGGGCAAACAGGAGAAAGGGAAATCTTTCCTAGTAGCTCACTCTGGGCTACAGATAATCTTTTTCCATACTATATATCATTGATCTCAATAGGTTAGAGTTTCTAATAAACTTTGTTTATGTTATAATAATCCTTTTATGTTTTAACATGTGGGGGACTGAATTGTATCCTACTGTAGCATTTTAGGGGACAAAACCTGACTAATCAGTTTTTGTAGTGTTTTGAGAAGCTATTTGACTATCAGAATGCATATGGCAACAAAAATAAACAGAGAATACTTCCTGACACCCCTATTGAACTCAAAACTATTTCTCAACAAGATAATAAATATTTCAAAGCATTTAGAATATTTAGGCAAGTGTTAATTTTCTGGTACATAGTGTACGCATATTAAGTTGAATGTTGGCAGTGTTCCAACATCTCAAGGCAAGGTGTATTTAAAAGTATACTTTCTTGTTTGCTGCAAGAAAACAATGCAGTTAAAAGGACTTCAGAACAATTTAATTCATACTTAAACATTCTCATCCTTTGTGTCCAATTTCTGTCACGTAATTGTATGTTGTGTGGAAGTTCTAAAATAAGCAGTAGATTGATAAACGTTCAAATTAATGTGAAATACTTTGGTGGTGTGCTTTAAGTTAAGCTACAACTTTAATCATGAGTTCCAAATCACTGAAATATCCTTCAAGAATCTGAGTTCAATATAAAATAATTATTATAGGATAAGGATATAATATATTTGTGTGTGCCTGCATGCACACGTGTGTAAAAATAAAAAAAAAATCTCATAAGATTTTAGTGGTGCTTTGGTCTCAATACTTCTCTGTATGTTACTGCCTCTGGATTCTTTTGGTACATAGTTTGCTGTTAGGCATAAGTCTCTAAATAAAATACTCTTAGGCAGTGTTTGGAAATGGGCAGAAGTAACTTATCTTAATAATGCATGTTAATTCTTTCAGTTGCAAAGCATAGAAAAACAATGGAAAAGAACTATTGAAGAGAACCTCTGCAATGCACATGGATAATTACCGGTGACTTCTTTAGATTAAGAAGGTAAACCTTGCAGTAAGGAGAGAAGGACAATAGGTACATTTAAGGAAGACACTTTGCTTTTCATGTAACACTTGTTTTGGCAGGCCCCATTTGTTTTGGTTTTCTGCAACAAACTTTTCAGTTGTGTTAAACAGATGGTGGTTGGTACAGAAGTAGTTTCTGATATTTTATATTCATAGGACTTTTTTCTAGATGTAACAGCTTGGAGAGGTAGGGTGGTATAGTGGTTAAAGTACTGAATTAGAGCTCGTTTCTTATTAATCTCAGATGATGGAGCTTTGCGGCAGTTAATTTCTCCCAGTCCAAATTGCTTTAGAGAACTGTTTTAAGGAACATTGGAGGAGAAAGTGCTGAATATAGGTAGTCCTTGATTTACAATTATAATTGAACCCAGAATTATGATTGTAAGTTGTGGCAGTTAAGAGGGTCACCACATGAACAGTCCTAATTTTCTGACCTTTTTTGCAACAGTGGTTAAGCAAATGCCGTAGTTGTTAAATGAATCTATTATCCCCAATGAGATTTTTTTTTTTTGCCAGAAATGGGAAGTAAACGCTGGAAACTGGCAAAAATAACTGGAAATGTGACTGTGGGATATTACAAAGGCCATAAAGTGAGCGGTGGCCTAGTGCCCAGAATGCAAACACATGATTGTGGGGTGAGAGGTGGCTGCTATTGGAACCTCTAAATCAGGTTGTAAATACCTTTTGGGGAATTTATCATAATTTTGAATGGTTGCTAAGCAACCGGTTGTGGAGTAAGGACTACCTGTGTGCTGCCTTGAGCTATTAAGTGAACGGCATACAACTGCTTTATCCAAATGGTGAATGTAATTGTTTTGGGTTTTACAGAAAAATTGATAATAAATGGCAATATGGGAAAGTTAACTAATAATTATTGCCCATTCTCTCCAAATCTGCATTTCACTGGAGATGCAGGTGACAATAATGAAAATTAAAAGCTATTATGATTGACCTATGGATAATTTAAACTTAATTTTCCATTTTAGCATGAGTGATCAATGCAGATTCATAAAAATAACATTTACCTTCAGTTGAACTTGATGGATGCAACCAGTTAGATATCTTGATAATAAGACAGAGGGTTTGGGGTTCCAGCCTTTTAGAATCTCTGTGTGTGTTTTACCTACTAGTCTAATGTAGCATTTCCCTGGAGGTCCCCCATCCTAGGACTGACCCTGCTTAGCTTTTAAGCCAGGTAAGATCAGCCAGGTGCTGCCACCTGCTGGGATACAAAACATGTACTTGAAACTATAGAAACATTTCTACTGAATATTAATAATGCTGCCTTACAGAATGGTATTTCCAGAGTTTGTTCTCTGGTGTCACTGTTCTGTCTTTAGCATTGTTGTTGCTTATGAATTGGCGATAAACAAATAATTATTAAGTATTGTGTTTCTCAATGAAAGTGTCAAAAGCAGTGTTGGACTTTGCAATATTCAGGTACCTGCAAACCATGCCTAAAACTATGAAAGAAATGGTTATAGGTTTCTTTTCTCCAATAAAAATAAGTTTGTTTTGCTTTTAAATTTTGTTTGCCTATGACATGCTGTTAAATTTTTTTCTAGTCTGGTCTAACTTTTTTCAGTATTCCATAATCAAACCACTGGGTTTTTAAAATTCACCCAAAATTTCTTCAAGCACTACTACTTTGTAGGTGTGAATGGGCATACATAGATGTGCATATGACTGCATATGGCGGAGTGGCTCAGTGGTTGGTTAGGTGGATGGGTGGATACATGACAAATGAATATTAAAAAAAGAAGATAGGCTTCATCTAAGGAGAAACAGTTGTATGGAAACCATGCTGCTTCTCAAGAGTTTCATCTCAGAGCAACAAGACATATTTGCACAGACGCCAAATGTTAAAAAGGTTATTCTGATTTAGAAAAGGAAAAAATAAAATGACTCTATAGTTCTATGGGTTTTTCTCAGTGCAGCTCTGGGGAAAAGATTACCAGAGAAAAGAATACTGAATCATAGCAATATAGTAGTTCTTTAAGATAAAGATCCTAGCCATAGTAGTGAAATTTGACAAGAAAATATATTAATATTTTCATTGTTATAGTGTGATAAAAATATATGAAAGCTATTAAATATATTCAGTGCAGAAGATTATCTCATTGTGTATTGTTCTTGGAGGAACAAAAGGAGAAATGTTGGCTTTGTCAAGTTTGATGTTCAAACACAGTTGACCAATGAAGATATGAATTCCTGTAATCATATTGCATTGATTAGGAGTAATTATGAATAGGCTGATATAGTTATGTTTGTTGTTTGGCATTACCCAATTATGTGGGGAAGAGGCTACCTGCATGTAGAGAATTGTTGGCTTTGACAGTTTCATGGTTTAGTAGAAAACAGTTTTTTCTTGACTCTTTGAAGAAGAAATGAAGTAGGGGCTATTTTGTTCCTGTTGATATAAACTGCTGTCTTCACCTCTTGTGTCAGTGCAAAATAACACCATCATAATATATGTTGTCTTAATTGTCAGTCCTTCCCCTTCCCCTGTAGTTATTCATTGTCCAAATTGCAAATGTATCTAATATTATAAACAGGTTGATTGGATTCCTCCTCTGATTTCATTGCCATTTTTCTTGTCAACCTCCTCAGCTTTGCTGGCTGGGGAATTCTGGGAGTTGAAGTTCTCCAGGCTTAAAGTCGCCAAGGTTGGAGACCCCTGCTGTATAAAATACCCACCAATCAGTCAGTATACATGAGGTGAAGTTGGCATTGTTCTATAATTTTGGAATTTATATTTAAATTTAAAATTATATAAAATAAAGAAATAATTGGGAATAAGGTACTCCATTATAAATATGCACGTAATAAAAATTAAAAGTTAACCAAGCAGTGCCAAACATATTTTAATTTTTTATACTTTATTCCATATTTTCAGTAGACAGGGTACAAAAGCCCGAAACTAAATTATGCAAGGAGAAGGAGTCCACATAAAATAAATTTGCATTTGCTCTGGGAAGTTGAATTACCCAAAGGGGTTTGAAGTGAGTAAAAGAAGAAACATATCCAGAACTCCAGTACTGAAAAATTACCGATAGATTTCTAGGGCTCCGTGCTTGTTTCAACATGGTTAAGAATTGTATCTGGGTTTTTTTTAAATCGGAAATGTAAATGCAGACATAGGTAAAGGAGGAGAGAGAACAAGGCTACAGGCAGCTCAAATAAATATTTGTCCTCATTCTATTTAGTTGCATTTCAATAGATCCCATGGCTAGGAAACCAGGAAACTGCCAGGCCAGGGTGGACAATCCACTTGCTGAAGGGGAGAGCATAGGTGTTCTTCCACCCTCCCAAAGTTATATAAGAAAAGGGCAGAGGCCTAATTATCCTCACCAAATTTGAGCAGCTAAGTCACTGGAGAGTATTTTATTTAGTTATTTATTTACGGTAAATTTATTGGCTGCACATCTCCAGTGCAATTTGGATTCCATAATTGAGCCCATAATCATGATTGTAAATTGTGAGGATTGCTAAGTGGAAACTGGCAAAAAATGCCAAAAATTACAATCACTTGATCATGGACACTGCAAACAGCCATAAATGTGAGCCAGTTGCCAAGCGCTCAAAATATGATCACATGACCACAAGAAGGGGCAGTGTGCACCATCAGAACTTTGGGATTGGATCATCTAGCTTTTGTAAGATCTGTCATAACTTTGAACAATTGTTTAGTGACTAGGCATTAAGTGAGGATTATGTGTGTGGGAGTGGGTGAGTCTGTGCATACACACACACGTGCATGCAGTACAGAAACCTGGCAAATAATTTTCCAAAACTCAATACATTTCCCATTATTTGAGCTACTGTATTTTAGGATATTGAAGAGTGTGCTGCAGCTACACATAAAGATTCTTCATACATGACATTTAAAAGTTGTCCAAGTATGCCCTTTCTTCTTTCCAGATAGAAGGGTAGTGTGGTCTGGGCTCCTCTTTTCTATTACTTTGGAAGCCCAAAGTATGGTTGATTTTAAAAATTGAGTGGGTGGGCTAAAGGGTGAGTGATAGATGAAAACATAAATAAGCCCAAAGTGAGAGGGCATATTTTGGGAGAGAAATAGCTGCACAAGACTGCACACATAGTCCAAAATACATTTCCTGCCATAACTACAATAAAACACATGACCTTACTACTAATAGTCAGCAAAAAGTTACAGATTTTACATGGCTTGAAATTGGTGGGGAAATGTTGGATTGGGGGTAACTGAGAACTACAGTATTGCTTTTCCCAATATGTAAAGTGATGAGATATGACTATTTAAATCATGGCTGCAGATAAGATGAAGCCACCGTTATATAATCATGGGGAAGTTTCAGGTTTTCATGTTGGGAAATAAGTGGACAGCCTATGATCCACTATTGACATATTGGGAATACGTTACAACAGTTCTACTTCTTCTTACTTTACCCAAGGAACATGTTATCTTGTAGGAAAATTAGGTAGAAAAAGCTGCCAGTTTGAACTATTGTGACAATAAAAGCCATTAGATCCCCAATCATCTGGTTTGCTTGGCTTAATTCTTGTTTGCTGTAAAGATTCTTTTCTAGCCACTCTATTATCTGTGAGATTTTTTGCTTAAGTTTTAGCTTAGGGAATGAATTTAGCTGCAGTGTGTAAAATCAGGTGGTCAGTGATTTGCTGATTAGCATTATGGCATTATGCTGCTGTTATATATTACATGAAGTGGAAGACCAGACATTCTGTAGTTTGAGAAGAGAATTGCATTTAATAGATACAATAATGGCTTAGCCATTAAGAGACAATCTTCTATGTGCCGAACAATGTGGCTTCACAGTTATATTTTGTTCATTTAGTTCTTAGAATAACTTGGAAATTTGTCTTAAATCAGAAAGTAGCATCTGTAGGGTGCTGATATGCAATAGACAAGTCTCCTTGAACTTGTTACAGGTTGTGTGTGGGGGTGTTGATGGACACATGTGCAATTTTGAGAGCACATTACTTTAAAAAAGGATGCCATGATGATATACCTAGTTACAGAAGACAAAGTTACTTGAATGCATAAGCTTAAATGGCTCTACACTGTTTCAACTCTTCTACCGGTTTGGTCTCAATTAAACTCTTTTTTCTGGCAGATGGGCAAAAGTGGAAAGTATTGGTCTGCAGCCATCCACCATTTTAGTTTCTAAGAATCCCTCAAGGCAGGGGTCCCCAACGCCCGCACTACGGCCCACTACCAGGCCTTGAGCCCTTCAGAACCTGTCTGCGGAAGTGGTAGTAAATGAACATGTGTACGCATTCCCACTTGAGCAAGCAGCAGGCAAGCACAGGTGATTATGCAAATGGAGCTGCTCGCCGCTTGCCTGGTCTTACACGAAACCATCCCCTCTCCTCCGCCCCCCCCCCCCGGCCAGGCCAGTCTGCAAAACTTGAAAGGTTGGAGACCTCTGCTCTATGATGTGAATGGATCCCAATGCATTTTTGGAAAAGATAGATTATGCTTCAGAATGTGTTTGCTTTGTGTATATTTACTACTCAGTTATCTATTATATATATGGTAGTCCTTTGGATTTGAAGACTACATATTGTTGGGCAGTTCCTTTGGATACAGAGGTGGTTCTGAAGTCCAAATCTGGAAGCACAGAGTTTAGTACAAGGAGGGCACTGGAAGTCCATTATTGTAGAAACCATAGGTATTATCCTGTGACATCACACATGGTTTTCTATCATTTTTTGGCAAAGCTTGTCTAGCAAGCTGGTGGAAGCTTCATTGTACAAGGGTCACCAGAATATCATTTATTAAAAACATTTAAAACAGCTTGACATCAGGAAATTGTCAGAAGACACATATTAGTGTTCAGAGTAGCAGAGAGGATTTCTATCCTATCTGATTTGCAATCAAAAGAATCTTTTTCGGACCTATTTGGAATTAAGTATGCAAACTTTTTTTTTTTTTAATCAGAACTTTATCTTCTGTTTTGGATTTTATCTACGGCAATGTTCTCTTTGTGAAAAAGTTACCATGAAGAAAAGTTGCCGCTGTGGCCATCCAAGTATTGTTGTCCTCCAAGTCTTAACTCCCATCAGTCCTCTCCTGCATTATCCATAAATCAGAAATATTGAGATTTGTAGTGTATAAGCATTTGGATGACCATCATTGATGCCTGAATAATTGCACTAATTTTGTGTCTCATTTTTTTTTCTCCATAGGTAAAGTATGTGCAGAATTCCACAACGAAGGTTTTAAGAAAAGTGAACATTATGGCAAAGTTATCAGAAGGAAGTTCAGCAAAAAGTAACATTCACCCCACCTTGAAAAACACTGCAATTAAGTGCCAAACAGATCCAAAAAAGAATTACCGGTAACTGGGAATCTAAATCACAATTTCTCCTGATCTAAATACAAAGAAACAAAAATAACATCAATGCACAACCACGGGTTGTGGTGCCTTTTTCATATTTGAGTTACAGTCCTCATAATTCATATATATCTCCATGTTTAGAACTCCTTTAATTGTATATACAATAAATCCAAGTTAGAACTGGCTTGTTGTTCATTAGAATAATTGTGCTAAAATTTGCCAAAATGAGTGCAGAAGGATACCAGTACAAAGCTTTATATGATTACAAAAAAGAACGAGAAGAAGACATTGACCTACATTTGGGAGATGTTTTAACTGTGAATAAAGGTACTTTAGTTGCTCTTGGATTCAGTGATGGAGAAGAAGGAAAACCTGAGGAAATTGGTTGGTTGAATGGCTATAACGAAATGACTGGGGAGAGGGGAGACTTTCCAGGAACTTACGTAGAATATATTGGAAGGAAAAAAATTTCTCCCCCTACTCCAAAGCCTCGTCCGGTTCGACCACTACCCATGGCACCAAGTCCTGCAAGAGTTGGAACAGAGAGTGATCAATCAGGTTAGTGTTTTGTTATTATAATAAAACAGACTAAATAGCAGATAATTACCTTGCTTCTTTCCCCTCAGGTAATTTCGATTCTTTAGCACTTCATGCTGTAGAATATTAACACTGCAGGTGGGAAGAAATTAGTTTAAATATTGTGTAGGGTGTTAAATAATGTAAATGAATGTAAATGTAAAAGAAGCAAGTTCATTTAATAACAAATGTGACTAGAAATTATTTCACACTATCTTCATAGTTCTTTTAAGTAGGCAAACATCTATTAAAAGTAGGGAAGTATTTACCACTCTCTTCTAAAAATGTTTCTTCTACACCTGAGGGATTTCTGATACAAATGTGGGAGGAAAAAGAAGCCCAGTATTGTAAGGCACATAATCAATCTGCAAAGATGGCAGATCTGACCAGGTCCTGAGTGCCCAATCTCAAAATTCAAATCCCTTAAAACATTCTGACAGACAAGTAAACGGTTGTTCCAATGTATAGAAAGGAGAAAATTCTGACAAATTTAACTGGTGTTTCTGAATTTATTTAAAATCATGCCTCCATTGCACAATAAACATGTAAAGGTTTTTTCATATAATTTTATTGTTTGTACTCACAGTATGTGCATATTGGTTTCTATTCAAAATCTTTTAATAACTTGACTGATAATTAGTCTGGGATAATTAAAATTGAAAACTTGAAATCAAATTATGTCGGTGGCTTTGAGTATTACCAATTAAAAGATAAGAAAACAACATTTAAATAGAGTCAACTAATTATGGAATATGTCAACATTGCCCAATTTGAAGTCAGTGGCAATATACTTATGTAAGTGGTTATTTTCTTTCTCCTGTTTCTCTTCCACCATCCTTCTGCTTTAAAATAAAACAGTACCCTGTCCAAAGTATATGAACAGATTTCTAAAATGGAATTTCCCCTCCTTTTCTTCTCCTTAGTGCCATGTGTCCCCAGATTTATTCCAGAAACTTTCCCAATAATGTTTGGGGAGAAAGATGCCTAGAAATTGATTCTCCGTTGAGTCTGTCTGTTGCATATGAAACATTATACTGGTAGGCAGATTTTTCCCAAACTAAAAGAGATCATATATCATGCACATACTGATAATCTCTGAGTTATGATAGTTCACTTAGTTCACTTCAAAGTTGTGATATAACCTCCCAGTACTTATGACACAGTCCCGAAGTTACAAATGTTGTGGCACCACGACAGTCATTCACCTTTATGAATGACTGCAGAGGGTCTGCAATATTTGCCCTACCTATTCCCCCCTCCCCCTGCTTGTGGATACTCACCTTGCAAAGAACTAGCAAGCCTTCGGTTTCTTGGCCTGCTTCGGTGCTTCAAGCCGTTGGTGCATTCACAGAGAATGGAGGCCTAAAATACAGCCAAATCAAGCGAGATCAGTAGCACGAGATTTGAATATGAGGAACATTGTAGAAGACCTCCTTGACTTTATTTGGTCAAGTTTATATTTTCTATACTTCACAGTTTAAAACTGCTGTGTGCCTCTTAAGTGGCAGAGAGTCTGAAAAAGTGTTTTCTTACTTTACTGCTTGGAATTACCATATTTTTCGGTGTATAAGATACACTTCCCCCCCGAAAAGTGGGTGGAAATTTCTGTGCGTCTTATACAGCGAATGTTGCCAAAGCCCCACCCACCCACCAACCCACACCCTTTGGCCTCTGCCTCCCAGCAATTTGCCTCCTTGCAACAAATAGCAAACAGCCTGGTCAGCTTCAGCACAGCCTGATTTAGCACAAGCAGCTGATTGGTGGTTGGATCTACCTCCCGGAATACTGCCTATCAGCTGTTCCAGGGTGCAGGGATTGTCATTGCCCATCGCTGCTGCCACCTATCGCCTCCTCCGCGTGCCCCATTTTTGGCCTCTGCGCCAAAAATGGGCACGTGGAGGCGGCAATAAGCAGCAGCGGCGATGAGCGGTGACAGTGGCAATGGGTGATCCCAAAGCCTGGAACAGCTGATAGGCGGTATTCTGGGAGGCAGATCCAACTGCCAATCAGCTGCTTGTGCTAAATCAGGCTGTGCTGAAGCTGACCAGGCTGTTTGCTGTTTGCTGCAAGGAGGCAAATTGCTGGGAGGCAAAGGCAGAATTTTTTTTTCTTGTTTTCCTCCCCAAAGCTAGGTGCGTCTTATAGTTCAGAGCATCTTATAGTCTGAAAAATATGGTAGATTGAAAAAGCCATTTGTTTGTGTGGTTTACAAAGTATATCTCTGTTGTGGTTTGCCTCTGATACATTAGTTATGATACATTTTATACAAAGTTTTCCTAAACATATAAGGTTTTCTATAAACATGTTCTAGTTGTGTTTTTGCTTATGTTAATCAAACTAAACAGCTTGACACTTAGTTCAGTTGTTTTGGTTAATCAGACAAGTGTTTTGTTGTTTTTAGGAGCACTTAGGTTACTTTTCATCTGATTGAAACTCTAATCCCATGTTTGGAAGGCTGATGTTTCAATTAAGCTTTATTTACAGTTGAGATTATTTTAATTCATAAAGTTGACACAGTAATGCTGTTAAAACAGTTTATTCTCAGCAGAGAATTTCCAAGTAGTGTTGTAAGTTTTATGCAGAACTAAGATTGATACAGAAACTGTTGATTCACTGTAACAAAAAAAAAAATTGTTGTGGCAGCTTTAAAATTTTAACAAATTGTTTAGTACCAGATATTCACTTATCATTGCCAGTAACATGATTACTATGGTTTGTACTGTTTGCATTTCATTTTCTTCTAGTCTTGGAGCTTATAATTCCCTTGATTTGTAGTGCTTTTCGTTCTGTTCATATTTTGAAAGAAAAGAATCACACAATGTGCATAAATATTGTGGCTTTCAAATACTAGAAGATTTCTTCCAGTGATGCTGATGACTGGAAATAATCAAATTATTTACTCAGACCTTATGATCTCTATTCTTGGACACCGAGAAAGTAGTCAGTACTAAATGGCCACAACCATTGCTAGACTTCACTAAATAAAATTCTAGCACGTCATAATTTATATTAAAATTTTAGACCTTTAAGTTTTGTATGTTCTCTTGCTGATTTCGGCAATCTTGAGAGAAAAATATAAATCTCCTCATTCTGTATTCATATGTCCAATATCAATGTTTCCCCCATAGCCGAATGATCACATATGGCAAAAGTTGGAAAAAGCAAATGCTTAGCAAGCCTCTTCAGTTCCTCTTAAATATAATTATGTAGAAGTCATGAGATTTTATTGCACATTGGATCTGTTTCCCAGGCAAGCAGTTTTTTTAGCCCATTCAGTGAGATTTTTCAAAACATTTTTAAAAAGGGAGAAATGTATTTCATTAGTTTTGTTTATTCTATTGATAAAATAAAGGCAACACAATATTTTATAATATTCTGTTGAAAGGATTATTTAAAAAATGTGGTTAGGAACATTATAGAGAGTGTGTAATTACCTCAGTAAGCATTGCCAATGTATATTATCAGGAAAAGTCACAAATTTACTCAATATCAAGAGTAGTTTGTAAATTGTATATTAGAAGAAAATACCAAAATAATTTTCGCCTATTTATGAAAATCTAAATAAAGTATAATAAAACTGTTGAAAATACATAGAAACATCCACTTCCTTCCTTTCTTTAAACTCTGTTTCTTTAAATAGAGAATATTGAGTAATTATGTGGTTTTCTAAATGTATTGATTTTTCTTTAAGAATTAGATCATGAAAGCCCATGATAAAGGAATGGCATCTTATCTTTTGTTCCATGGGCACAATAAATATAATACAGTTGTTTATGCAGTAGCTGTAATCCATAGTCTCACTAGAATCTGCAGGAATACTAAAAAGATGCCAGATTGCTGCCCATTTTTGCAAGTGTGAATATTGCATCACAAGTATAACTGTTTACTGATGTGGCATGCTTGGTAGTTTGTTTCAGTAGGGCTAGTTAAAGATGAAAAGAGTATAGTGTGTGTCTGTGTGTGTAAAGAAAGAAGCAGACATCCTGCAAGCTCCGGGACTTAAAATTTTAAAATAATTAAAATTTTATTTAACTAAGCTTTCGTCAGCCATCTGCTGACATCGTCAGAGTATTAAACTACCATTACCGAGATCTCTGTAATATATAGGCAGAGATCTCTGTAATGGTAGTTTAATACTCTGACGATGTCAGCAGATGGCTGACGAAAGTTTAGTTAAGTAAAATTTTAATTATTTTAAAATTTTAAGTTCCAGAGCTCGCAGGATAAGTTTCTGGGCTTTTTTTCTACTGACAAACAGCAACTCTGTGTGTGTGTATATATATATATACACATACATACATATATATATAAAAGAAGAAAGACATGCATAGTTAAATGTCTGTGGAGATTTTCAGCCATCTTGGTCATAGTTATCCCAAAAGTGGTTTTTCAAGAGGCAGAGCTAAAGAAGCTTCTTGGATGAGAAATGGCAATTCACAATAAGCTTTTTTTGTGAGTGGCATGTACTTTTGTACTGGTGAGTTGATTGATGTGTGTAGTAGGATAAGAAATATTAGATTTAATGAGAAAGAATGTTAATTCTTAACAACAGTTTTTTTTAGTACAACCATTTTCCAGTAAAATTTGTTTTTCAGTAAAGATATGACTAAGGCCTAAAATTGATTTCTCACTTTCCATGCACAATCTGTAGTAAAATTGGTAACTATCTTTAAACTGTTCTTTGACTCCACCTCCTGGTTAATTCTGGAAATACATCCAATGCCAAATTAATGGATTTTAAATTAGTAAAGAAACAAAGGCATATTTTTTCCAGATTTGAAAGAAATGTAATTTCTGTAATACAGTGATGCTTCACCAACCATTGTAAATAATGGTGTTTAACTTGGTAATTCCTGCTGAAAAAAAACATACACAGATTTTCAACTTGTCTGTTTTTGAATTTATTTTTTTAATGTCACATTGAATACACAATGAATAAAATTTCATCTCCCTCCCTCCTCCCCCAGTGTAGGGCGTAATCA